ATATTTATATAATATTTATATGTTATAATAATGTAGCATAATGTCTATATGGCAGTAAATATAATATAACGTAAAATATGTTTGTGATTTTTTTCTATCTTGAAATTTGCGAATCAAAATACTACAATAAGAAAGTTCTTGAAGAAGAATTTAAAAGAATTATCATTTTTGTTCTGAGCAGTGGTTTTTGAGATATAAAACTAGCCAATATAGATTATTATTAAACGCCATGGACTGCCTGTCCATGAGTCACGATAATCGCAAGCAATCATTTAATCGTAATTCGTAGTCGTGTCAGTTTTAAACCTTTATATCTCTAATATATGATATTTTTATTTCCAAGGACATCATATATATTTGTAGACTTGTATGTTTTGAATGCTCCTATTGTTCGACAACCTTACATTTGGATTATTTTGAAATCTGGAACTGACACGACTGGTTTGTTTCCATAACCGTAGGATGCGCGTAGGATTTCTCTAGGTACAATGCTTAACCAGAAACCGCCTTCCATTCGCATTGAAAATCCGCCTTTCTGAAATTTTACAGATGTCGAAGTTTTCTCACATGGCTTTAACTGACAACGAGCCAGAAGATGAAATAACATAGTCCTTGTTTCGAGTAATGCGAATCTATTGCCGATGCACATTCTCGGACCTAATCCAAATGGATAATAAGCGTTAAAATTGCACTGATTTCCTTCATCGAAGAATCTCTCAGGTTTGAATTTATCCGGTTCCGGAAAATATTTCGGATCGTGTTGAAGCGCATAAATTGGGATAAAGAGTGTCGTTCCTTCCTTTACAAGATATGGCTTTACATTTGGTAGTGTAGAAGGCAACTCGAAATCTTTCACGCATATTCTGTCCGTCATTGGTTGTACCGGATACTTTCTGAGAGCCTCATTAATAACGGCATTTAGATATTTCATTCCGTTGATCGCCTCATAAGATGGTTTACCATTCGTATCTTCTAAAATTTTGTCGATCTCATTTTGCAGTTTCTCTTGAATATCTGAATTGATGGCAATTTCGTGTGCCACGAAACTCATCAGTGTCGAGCTGCTGTCGAAGCCAGCAATAAAAAAAATGAATGCCTGTGACGTTATATTCAAAATGGTCAGTTCTTTTCCAGGTTCTCTTTTACTTCTGCTATCCATCAACAATTGAATTACGTCTGGACGAGTAATATCTTTCTCTTCTCTGATTTTTATAGTATCAGCTACCAGATTTACAAAGAATGCATTAGTACGATCATCTATTAACTTAATATTTAATAGACGTATAAGCGACGGCATATGTTGATACATCAAAATTTTTATAAGTGCAAACATGCCAAAATTTGTCGCTTTTTTGCCGAACATGTAAAATTCATTTTCTGGGTTTCTCATCGAATCCACATCAATACCAAAAGCGCATGAAGCGATCACGTCGTTAGAGAATCTTGTGAATATATCTTTCATTTCCATAACGTGTTTGTCTGACGGTACATTCAATAAATATTCCGAAAAGTTCACAGCGCATTCAGATATTAATTGAAACATTGTCCTCATTTTACTGGCTGTAAAAGCAGGACTCAAAAGCGTTCTAATGTCGCGCCATTTGTCACCGCGAAGAGCAAGTAAATTTGTTCCAAAAAGTGGATCTTGAGTTTCATTGCCAAAGAAAAGATGATCTGGAAATGCGTCGAAATGTTTGATAGTGACAAATTTAATCAGTTCAGGATCACGAATTATTACGATCAATCTCGTGAAATCAAAAGCACCAATATACTTAGCATTGGAATGCACATTGTATATTTCTTTAATCATATCGGCAAAACTTTTTGGTCGAACAAAAAGTTTCCAAATCCTTTCTAACAAGAAATATTCTTTAACATGTGGAATTCCGTGCTTCTGAAACACATTTGAATCTTTGCAGGATGAGTAATAATAAATAGCAAGTATGACGGCTACTATTGATAAGACTATTGTCCAGTACTCCATGATAAATGTTTAATCGGAATGCGAATTACTCCTTTTGTTCGAGATAAAGTTGAACGCCAATGTCGTGAAAGTTTGTGTCAATATCACTGTTTGCAATTGTGTGAGGCACCCTCAGGTTATAATCCAATGCAATATGTTGAACGTGATTGTTTTATCAAGTCAAAGCGATCTGCTCGCTTGAAATTCTCGCACACAACTGCTCATACCGAGATAGAGTTGTTTGTTATATGATTCATTGTAATTTCATGACGTCATTTAAGAGAATTACATGAAAGAGAGAGAGAGAGAGAGAGAGAGAGAGAGAGAGAGAGAGAGAGAAATAACATTTTGTTACTTTATAATCCGTAAGTGAGAAGATCCATTATATATACCTATATAGATAAAAATACTTATAATTCGTAAATTATGTTTTTAGTATGTAAAATAGTGATAAAATATTAAAAAATCGATATTAATAAATCAATAAGTAAATAAAATAAATATTATAGAAGTAATATAGTTTAGAAAATGTAATGTCATCGTTAATCAGTAGCATACAGCCGGTATAGCTGATAATGTTTTCTATTATTCGCAATAGCCTTAATGTTCTCATATTAAAACGGAAAACTGTCGTAATAATGAATAACGTATATGTACATTACGTAATAAATGAGTCACACCAACCATTTGCCGAATCGGAATACTGTAGAGAAACCAAATTGAGAGCTCGTTTTATTGATACCAGCGACCGATCGAGCATTACTAACACCTCGTACCTAATCCAGATGGCGTAAATTCTTCGATATGAAAAAGAGCATAACACTACTTATTTATGATTTGTTTGATCTTTAATCTTAATGATGCAAATTCGAAAAGTCGTTTCGCTCATATCTCAGAATTAATCTGACGGATGTTCTAAACATTGCGAAACAGTCTAATATGTCTGTCGTATGTATAATAGTCGGATTATATGAATTTACCCTCATATGGTACATATACAGAACCAACATGCAACGATACATAATCATGCCTTTGATGCGAACTGACTTACCACATTTGTACACATATACATACACACATATATATATATATATATATATATATATATATATACAAATTCACACAGTAAATTGCGTATTAACAAACTTGCTTTGACTTCCAGTCAAACTACCAACAATTAAACATAATACAAATATTTTACTGTAAATTTAAAGGTTGAAGACTCTCTCTCTCATCATATCATTAAAATGAAACAAATATAATCGTGTTATATTTGTTGCACAACAAATGGAACATAATAAAAATTTTTAAATAAAAACATAATAAAAATAAAAATTTTTTACGATTAATCGCATCCTTTCACATTGTGCGTGCGCGCGCGCGCGTGTGTGTGTGTGTGTGCGCGCATCTTCCTATAAAAGTATCTATATCAAAATAATAATTTTTATACATGAAAAGAAATAATTTCTAATAAATAAATAATTAATTATAAGAAATAATTTCTCATTAATGAAAATTTTGATTTTTCCTCTTTTATTAATTCTTTTAATATTCCAAAATATCTCAAAAAGATTTTAAAAATTTATATATGTTTGAAACTTACATCTTGATGAGAAACAAGATTTTGATCGAAAGTTTGGTCTGTCTAACACGAGAGTAAGCACAAGAGTAAGAGAAATGAAAAGGGGATGGGAGAATGTACGGGAGAAAGAGAAAGAACAGGAGAGGGTTGGCGGAACAAAATTCATTTGGCCAAATTAAACAGAGTTTAGCAATTTGCGCTTAATCCATTTGTCGGGGATCCGCCGTCCGTCAGTTCGTCCGTCTGTCTTTACTTCAACCCTCTCTTTTTCTCTCGCATTCTCCCCTATCTTTTCTGCGTCCTCTATTTTGCACCCTTCTTCTAACTGTTCGTTCTATGTATCTTACTGGTACCTCGATCTCTTCGCCGTTTGAAGCTGCATGTAGGTTTTATTTCAATTACTTTTTAACAAAAAAAGAGAGAGAAAGAAAGAAACTTATTCTTATATGTTGCAGCTATCTTTTTCACGGCGATGTTATTCTATTGAGTTGCATAGACTAATATCCAGATTGTGCA